ATTAACGGAATGAAAACAGAACGGTACTGTACAAATCAAAAGTTCACGCAGTAAATTACTAACAGATAATAATTTTCAAACCCTGGTCAAGACCAACCACACTTCTCAGCTAGACTTGTCTCTTTATCTGCCATCTTCTTGCTCAACAGAAGCAAAGAAAAATGACCTCCAGCAACGATTAACTGATAATCCTGGCTGGAAGCCAGAATTTAATCCTTCTGAAACCAAATCAAATCTGGTATTAAAGAGTGCAGCTGTCTGAAGAAGGACTGTAAAGCTATTTCATACAGGAAGGAGACACACCTGCAGACCTGAGTGCCTACCAGTATACGGGATGCATGAGTGCTATTGACAAGGGCCTGTGTGTGTGTACACTTTAGGCTTCAGGGGAAAACTGCACACTTTGTAGGGCAACAGGGCTGGAAGTGACAAGTCTGAACAAGTTTGGGGTTGGAAACAAGAGCAAAATATCAAAGAACGGCTTCAGCAGCATAGAGTTCAGTGTGCCACAATTTGATGATCAAAGGATTTGTACATGTAGTCTAAGCTTATGACGCCAAAGAAGGGGATGCTTACATAAACCAATCACAGATTCGCCACATCCTCCAAATGAACTGTGGCCTTGTCATCGTACTAACTGCACGATATGACAACCAGAATTTATGCTGAACAAATGGCAAGCTACATGTACATAATTCAAACACCGTTTTGACGTCATCAGTTTGGTGATCATGCACTGTGACTACACTGACTTAACCAAAAATGACAACAAAATTGACTGTGCCCCCAAGCACAATGCAATGCCCCAGCAGAGTGGAAGGACACAGTGTTGAAGTGGAAATTGAAACGCAACAATTCAAAATCAGTGTGTTTAAAGTCAATGGGAAAAGCAATCAACCCTGCACATATACTAATATTAATGCAAAACAGAAACAGATTCGCCATAGTACAGTATGTGAATCATGTATACCCCATACAGAACTAGTTATTGGGGTAAGTTATGCTAATTTTTGCCAGAAGATTCTATAATTCAGTACCATCCAAATATTCACTGATAACTGATTAATGGAGGGCAATGATATATTGAGTGTTATGTGTTATTGACACTTAACTTTAAACAAAACAAAAAAAATCTGCATCATTTTACCATAACAAAATGTATCTCATAACCTTTTAAAGTGGCCAAATATGGCATCATTGTTAAAAATATTACATAATTTTAAAAACTCATTTAATGATAAATGACCGAAGACAAATATCTCAATACTCATGTAGGCCGACTCCTGAACATGAGGGAATTGCCACTCCCATTGGATCACTAAACTTCAGCGTACCACCCCCCTCAAATACAAACATGACAATTTGTACATCATTAACAAATTAAAATGACACATAATGACAAGGGAATCCAACAAGTTCAGCTGTTGTGCAACTTCACAACCCCGAAAACCACTGATCATAAATCAAATGCCCACAACAAACCCACAGGAAGATGGAAATCTTACCTGAGATACTCCTGCAAACAGGTGTCGCAGTAGTGGTGACCGCACGTGGTGATCTGCACCGGCGCATTCATCGGCAGCCGGCACAGCGGGCAAATGTACTGCCGCGCTACCTTCTCGTGAAAACGAAACTTGTGCCCCGGCATGGCGACTGGCTTTATTTAACCAAAATCCTCCTCCTCAGATGTTTCTGTATTTTCGAATGAAGGATCGAGTACAAATCTTCGGTAGGTATGGACAGAGTTCAGGGAGTCAGCGAGTGGCGAACGAAACCGATTCAACCACTTGACAGCAGTCACACATCACCACCGAATGCCGTCCACTATATGCGAAAACAGCTGATTTTCGCTGCATGCATGCTTCGTGCATAATGCATTGCAGTGCGCGAATGCAATGGCATATCGGAATCTATATCACATACTTCATGTGTTTTTCGGCTGGCTCAAGAAAGTCGTGTAAGGGGTCTAATTTTTTTTTATTTTTGAAAAGTACAATCGTAGTAGTTGTCAGAACAACTTCTGTTCATTTGAAGACCAAATTTATACCCACCAAAAACATGAAGAACTTTGACATGAACTACATGTTCTGCCAAAGCACCACGTGCAGGTTGTTTTGTTATCGCTCACTGGTCAACCCGCGTGCATTCGGACCGTTCCATTCTGGCAGGTGTAGCGTAAATGGAAGAGAATGTAAAGTATATCTGGGGAAAATAATCTTAATACCTGACCCCTGTGGCTCATTACAGATGAATTGCCTTGTTCGAGTGAACATCTGCTGGTTCGGTATTTCGTAAGGGTAGAAAGTCCTGAGATTACGAAGTAATGGCGGTTTTTGTTTGACTGATCAAAGGGGGGTGTACATATGTTACGCAAAATGTAAAAAATTGGCTTTCGCGATTGTGAAGGAATAAAAAAACACGACAAACAAGAAATATTCGTTTTAACAGCTGATGTTTGTCGTCTGTTTATACTTCAATGATCAAACCACCGTCGCCGTATTTTTTTATCTTTGCTGTCACATGTCAGTCTCGTCAGCGCTGGCGATCGATATAAGTTTGAGAAGTCTAACCGCAGATTACCAGACTGGCGTGACAAAAAAGCTACCCTGGAATTTCGAGAGGGGTTAGCGATGGAAAAACAAGTTAAAGACAACATCCACAAACCGTGAGAAAATATTGGCATAAATGAATTCAGTTGTATGCTAATTTCCACGGGTGTGTCTGTAAGGGCGGATCCAGAATAATTTTTTTTTGGGGGGGGAGCTTGTTTGGGGGAGAAGAAACTTCCCATTTCGCTCATTCTTTTACCAAAAATTTGCTCCGGGGGAGCCTGATCGTTCCCCCCCCCCATTCGCCCTTTAGAGTGTCTGTGTCCGTTTTCGTGATGTGTCCATCAGAAGGTCCCATCATTAACACGGTTTTCATAACTTGCAACAATTAAGTAGGGCATGGATTACCACCAAAGAAGAAGGAAAAAATGAATTTTATTTCACAAAAGCAATTAATATACAGGCTACAGCGACAGAAGCAGCCGCAATTGAGCAACAGTTATAAGCGACACCAACCATCGCCGCGGCCACTCCAAAGCCGCAGCCAAAGCACGCTAGTGACTAAGCACGCCAGAAGAACCAAATATTACGGGCTTTCAGCAGCCACACCAAGAAGTTTGCTGCACTAAAACAATATGAATGGCACGACAATTCAACTGCTTCTCCTTGACAATGTAGAGCTCGCCTTGAATTATAGACTAGGCCAGCCTTGATCACAGTTTATAGACTGAGACACGGGGAGCCTGTCATTTTCTTCCACCCACCCCCGTTCTGCTGAAGCATTCAACTTGGCCCTTTCCTCAACGAGGCAAACCATATTGACATTATTTCTTCTCTCCCAGGAGCGCTTCTGGTCGATCTCCAACCCTCTTTATTAGATACAGTGGGAGTAATATTTTGTGTAGTCGGCAGAAATATTGTGCTTTGTTTGTATCCAAATTCCCAACGGTTGACTATTTTTGTCTGTCCCGAATTCATGAGAAGCATGTGTAGTTTTGGCACGGAACCACACGGGAAAACGCTAGGTTTATTTCGTACATTACCACTGACTTTATCAACAGAAACATTAATGACCGACAAAACCACAGCTTTGTTTTATAAGTCTCACTCCCCAGACGCAATTCTACCTTGGGTTCACTTTTGGATTTGGACAAGGAAGGCAATTGTCCATACAGGAATATCCCCCAGAGAAATGGGGAGGGAGCCTACAAGCATGACTCGAACTTACTGCCTACCACTGGGGGTTGAAAACTTGTCAAACAAAAACATGCAGGTTTCCACTTCAAGGAACCACGGGTGACCACATAGACAAATTATTCCAGTTAGGTTTCAGATAATAAATCAAGCAGTACCAGAGCCGACAACAGCCACATAAAATCAGCCATTTAACTAAATTACTTCCATAAATTCCAGAAAACAAAGCAAAGTCTGACGTCTAGACGCAACGGAGAAGAGAAAATGCAATTCCCTAATGGATTGAAACACAACAAAGGCAGAGTAGAAACTGTTGAAAATCAAATGAGGGCCTGGCAAAAACACAGCTAGACAACAAGGAACATAAAAAATCCCAAATTGCTATCTTAAATTTGTGGGAGACATAAATCATCCTATACGGTGTCCGAGAACAACCATAAAGAATGCGTCCCCATTAATAGGGCCAAGCAATCATAGTGATGAATGGTTACACAAGGAGGGAGAAGCCCCCCCCCAAAAAAAATCATAACACTAACCAGAACTTATGCAAAATCTGACTGAAGCGTAGCAAATATTGATACAATATCAGTCGTGACATGAAGAGACTAAGAGACTGACGTCAAAGCCAGAAGTAAACGTCGTTTATCATTTCATAAAGACAAGAGGCCTATGCAGGAATTGGAGAGTTTGTTCTTAAGGGAATGAAGACATGTGTTTGGGAACTATATATGTACATTATAAGAGTTGAATCACAGCCATGTCAGTCTAGAGACTGACAATGCGAAATTTGTTGGCTGCATCATGCATAGTTGCGCACCATAAACTCATGCGGCGAGTTGAAACTAGTGTGATACGATGGACGATTACATTTGTGTTATTCGTTTCGATTTTCTCATTTTGCGGAAACCACAATTTAACACGATTGTCTTCTTTGTTTAAATAACAAATTTATTACAAAGAAAATAAAATATTAAATCCAACCAGTTTAATTCAATTCCGATTTCCTTGTTCAGAAGCCAGTTTTGCAAACCTGCGGAGCCTGGGGTTGTAGAGGGTGCTGTTTAAACAACGATAAAAACTTCCAACGGAAATTGCTCAACAGAGGGCGGTGTTATTTCATTCACGAAAGGGCAGTCGAGGCGCTTTCTAGTTCTCGACAAAGAGTCGAGTTCGACATTCATCTGCTGCTGACCAATAAGCACAACCATTCACAGAGACATGTCTGAAATAAATCCATCAGTTGTCATTTTAGCGGAGTGGACCGACACGAACTAGAGAAAGTCAAGGGATTTTTTTATTGCTCAAATTGTAAGAAAAACTCTGATACAGTGTATTTGGAAAAAGTCCCGTAAACTTACAAAGAGCAAAGTGGTTAAAATGGCATTATACCTGACACTAATATTTACAATACTTTTATTATTGTTTAACAAGTATCATTTTGATAAAATATCCCTTTGAAAACAGTATTATAAAGTGTTGTCGACTGTAAGTAAAATCTACGCGAATACGGGTATTTCACAATAGTGCACCTAACAAGATTTTCAACGCCTTGGTCAATCAAAATGCACGAAAATTAACTGTCGAGCCAATGCGCGTTTGGAAAGGGTCGACAGATTTCTTGCGTTGTAATTGGCCAACGCGTTGCACACACTTGAAGGTGCACTATTGTGAGTCACTTGTATTGTTACAATCTGGCAACTATACGGTTCTGAAAACGTGCAAGATATATTACGTTAAAAGTGTCATGAGTAGCGACTCTATACATACATCACCAAATAACACCATTATGTACACCACATCGAAATTCCAAAGCTTTAATTCTGAAATGGTTGTCGTTTCTTTTCGCATCCAACCCATACGAACACGAAGCTAGTTAGACATCAAAGAGCATAGCTGGTGTGGCAGGGCCCGACAAAATCTTATTGCCTTGCAACCAATAGTCTAAGTTGACATTTTAACCCTAAACAACTCCATACTCGGGGCATAATTTCTATGCACAGGAAAAGGTCAAAGTGTACCGACGAGGCGACCTAACTACTAACCCCAAGCACCGAATTTGTTTTCGCCTTTTACAAAAGGCAAAAACGCTTCCAGTCGGTACATGCCAGTTCTGCAAATATTGCCCTAGTGGAAATGTCAATAAACGTACTTGTAAGGTAAGTTTGAAGACAAGTTTCTCGTTTGTTGTAAATGAACGGCATCCCCTCATTAGATAGCCGCAGGGACATGGACGCAGCCTTTTCACTAACGATATACACGAACACAGAAACAACGAGCATTTAACTGCCTTTCCAAACTGTCAAGCATCCTGCAGACATCAAATTAATTTAGAACATATGTGTAAAAATAAGGCAGCCGCCGTTTTTTGTGGGGGCGTTTCTGAGCCTGAAGTGCATTGCTTGTATTACAGGCAAAGGTTTCTCTGTCCACCCAGTCGGCCCCACCAAATGCAAATCAGTAATGCTTGCTTGTTTTGTGAAAAAAAGGTTGGGGAATCTCTAAGGGAGAGCCTTATTTAGCTTCTACCAAGCAGGTATTTGAATATCTGAATATCTCATTTCCCCTCTGACATTTGAAGTCTTTCTGGAAGGACCTGCCCTTCCTCCAGTCCACAACCCATCCAGTACAGGGCCTTGGAGCGCGGGAAGTCCCGCCCAACCTTCAGCTTGGCGTCATTGAACCGCCAGTAGCTGTCGCCCTTGAAGAAGTAGGTCCTTCCGTTGCGCCACTGGAGGGCGCCGTCGATCATGACGGGGACACCAGGCCACTTCGTGGCGATCTTCAACGGGGAGCCGACGATCTTCTCCCGCTCCGGGTTAAATTCGTAATACCGCGCCCCCTGGGAGCCAAAAGGTACAGGAAATAATGAAGAGCCTTACACAAGCCCGAAAATTAACGTATGGGAGCGTCTGATTTCTTGGTTGAGGCTTGAAACAACCGTAAGCCCATAGCAAACCAGCTACAGCCATATTAATTTGGACACGGCTTCAGTGCTAGCTCGCTGAGGACGGCTAGCTACCAAGCGCAGGTTTGAAGTCAGCCACACACTTGGTGGCAATTATCCCACTTTGCGACTTCGCCTAGGTATTGAACCGATTCAGAAAGTTTTTCATCGGATAAAATAAAAACAATACTTCAAATATCGATATTTTCCCCAAAACATTTCCAGTCCTTGTTGTCGTACCTTGAATATGTACATCTGACCGTTACCGCCCCAGACGAAGGCCGCGTTGGGGCTCTGTGGCACGCCGCGAGGGGCGGTCTTCTTCGGGTAGCCAGGGTCCAGAACGAAGTTGGTGAATCTCCACATTCGATGCCCTGCGAATTCAAACCGTGAAGGAGAGGATTGTGTTGGTGTGAAACAGGAAAGAGGAACAAAGGACAGGCAAAGTGGAGGAAAGCTGTGGAAATACCTCTGAATTTGACCCAAAGAATGAAAAAGGATTACTGAGCCTTTGAAAACAGAAATGAAAATGGAAAAACTTATCCTGTCGACAAGATTTACATGGTTTGCAAATGACGTGATATGAATTAACCGGTCAATTTCAAACATTTGTCAGGCGAACAAAATAAAACAGCTTGTCGTCAGAATGACAAGAGGGATCCAGTCATTATGGGCACTCCATAAACAGATTTCACCAATCTTACTTTATCTATTATTGTAACCAACGTAAAAGCTAGGGCGGGTGCAATTTCACAGAGCAACTCGAAATAGGGCTTGAAATATTTTATGCAATGAGCAAAAATATGGTTGAGAACCATCAAGATTTACATACATTACGCAGCAGTTTAGCTGGTAACTTGTTTTCCGCCCAAGCAAAAACTACTCCACGCTTAATTATTATTTGTCTAACAACCCCGCACGGGTTTGGAGCTAAATGATACCCTTGAAGATGTAGGTCCTAGGCTGGGAGTAGGCAAACGTGGTGACGGCAGCGTGTATATTGCTAGGGGCTCCACGGTACACAAGGCCGATCTTCTTGGGGTAGCCTCGAACCACGCCCACGTCATTGATGGCCCAGAGATAACGCCCCTTGAAGGCGTAGGTGAGCCCATCCCCACCTGCAAACCCGAAAATAAAACAAGATAAGTCTTGTCCATTGCCCCCCCTTATGAAAACCAGTGAAGATCAACAATAGGCATGCCGAATGTCCGGCTTGAATCGAGACTGCGTGCACCGCAGCCGGTGCAGTCCCCCTGAGTTGGGCTGCGTCCCACCAGCAGTGGCTTCAGCTAAAGACAGCACGTGTGTACACAGGAAAAGTGCAGAGCGTGTTAATTTCGGTTGCGGCTAATTGATTAGGATACGGCTTTACAAGACGAGAGACGGTAATAGAGTTGACCAGACTATAAAGTACTTAAAGGTTGTTGAAGGAAGACTCGAGACGTCTTTATGTCGATTTAATTCTTGAATAACAAGGTTGTGATGCTCCCTGGAATTCGGTCGTGACACTTCGAGCGATTCAAGCTAGCTTTACTATCGATGCAATTGACGTCGTGAAAAAAGACTAACCAAACATGTTGAATGTGACATTATTTTACCGTTGAAGTGCCTGGGCAGTTTAAAATAGATGTCAGTGGCTACAGCAACGCTCACCCATTGTTACTGCATCCCAGTCGCTGGTGCAGGTATTTGGGCGCCCGGGCTTGATGCGAGGCCCGAAGCCATCATCCATCGGCGTCCCCGGCCGGGCTACGTCAGGCTTACCTAGCGGATTGAAGAGCACAAACAAATGCCATGTTATAAAGAGGACGTTCGCGTGCATGTAGGCCTACCGAGGGAGTTAATACAAGGGAAGAAACAGTGTAAAAACGGACGTAAAATGGAAATATCCAATACTTAAATCACGGTATCTTCCATTCCAAGTTCTCATTACATGAAGTACTTTGCATTGGTCATGCTATCGAAGGATAACGTCTTTGTCAGAATTCCTGGGAGTGGTCTTACGCCCTTTGTCAGAAGTATAAGTATCCTACCCATCCCAAGGGATGGTTACGCCCTGGCTATTTATACAAGAAGGGACAGGCATATTGTGTACATGTACATGTAATAAAGAGTGACGTAACTTGAGGGGAACTGGGTATTTCTACAGGGGTGGGTCCCTTCTGGGCTCTCATTGTCGGGGGGGGGGGCACTCAGTGGGTTTGGTCACTGTTGAAACACTGACCAAGACGGATTATCGCAGGGGTTTTCCTTTTCAAATTTATGAGCAGTTGGGGGCACACGCGGGGCACAGGCCTTGGAGGGCTGGGGTGTGTCCCCTTACACGCCCCTTGTGCTAGAACTTGTGCACCCTCCTCGTCTAAAGACTGGAAAGTTTGGTGTTCCAGTGCCAGACCCCTTGCCTTGAACCCCCTCAAGAAAGTGATCCCGTGCCTCCCCTTCAAACTGGAACACCTTTTTACGCTGATCGGAAACGCACCATACAGTTGCTGTATGCCCAAAATGTCGTCTCGCGGCAGCTGGAAGTCGGGCACATAGCCCTGGTACCAGGGGTACATGAGGGCGCCCTGCTCACTGGAGTGGGCCAGCCCTAGGCTGTGGCCGAACTCGTGGGCGGCCACGATGAACAGGTTGGTCCCATCGGGGGAGGCCACCGTGAACTCCTCGTCCTCGTCGAAATGGGCGTCGCCGTTCTCTGGAAAGTAAGCGTGGGCTAAGGTGCCACCTTGGAGTTAGAGAAAAAAAAATTCACGAGAAAAGGATCAAAATGATATTTTTCCTACATTAACACGTCGGGTCTTTAATACAAACTAACTTTTCAGCAGTGAGGCTTACGTGCTCAGTGGGTATTAAACATAAGTTCAAAACTGCAACTCAGGCTATGACGTAGCTTCAGATTCATGACCTAGGCCGTTTTCCAATATTCAACTTCGGCTCCGTCTTAGGCTTCAACTGTTTTTTACTAGCTGACTTTGAAGCTGTAAGCGCAGTAATCAGTCTAATATTGTCACAGAACATAAAATAAGATACAAGAAAGCCAAAAACTACAGTAATCCAATGTAATTTAAACGCTTCAGGCCCACAATCGGGGATTGGTTTTGGGAACGAAGCCTGAGACGGAGACGAAGTTGAGTATTGGAAAACGGCCCTAGTTGTCATGAGTTGCGACTCCCCGAGCCTCACTTATCTGCCACACAATCCGTGTTAACTTTGAGTCAGTAGTTCGAGTGCTTCCAAAACGTTTGCAACTGTTTCGGGAGCCACGGATGAATGCGAACTACAGACGACTTGTGATGTGGAAAATTGCCCACCCTGAACTAGGCTTTGCGGGGTTAATAAACAGCGAGAATTCTAAAGGTAGCCAAAAAGTGCTCCCAAACTGCAACTTGAACATAATTTGGCATTTTTGCAGTGCGAGGAACTCAACCCCTCGGGGTGAAAGAATGTATCACCTGGGCCGTCGAAGGCGGCGTACTCCCCGTCGCCGTGGTTACCCCGCGCGAACTTGATGACGATGTGGGCCTGGGGCTTGGCCTCAACCTCGGTGAAAGTCAGCGGCGTGACATCGGACCAGACCCTCCAGGCCCTGCTGATGACGTCCCTCATGTCGCTTTGGCTGATGTCCTCGGCGTAGTTCTCGTAGTAGTAGTTCAAGTTGGTCGTGCTCCATTTCGCTCCTGCGGGAGGCATTTTGAAGTGACAAACTTAATTTTTGAGAACTTTGTTGTGATTAGCAGAAAGTTCTTTGAACTGTTTGGAATTTGTTCTGGCTTTTTAAGGCCCGTGCTAATGATTTAAGGTGACAATTTGTGCAAGTTAATCTCAGAATTGTCGGGTCAACTTATAAATAATTTTTTTTGGGTAGATCAGCCAGATAACTCGACGAAAGCAATGCTTCAAAAACTGCGATGCACAAAAACGTGAACAAAAACTAACTTTCTCAGTACTTTTCCTTGCCCAACTGAAAATTAATTCATGCCATCCAGCACTCCGCTAACGGCCACCTACGTAGCCAGAACCCATAGATCCACATAATGCCAAATCATTCAGCTTGCCAAATCAATCACTCAGTCAATGGTTTAATGGTTCATTTTGTCATTCGTGATGTTGACTGCCGGAGTGAAAACAATTCCTGACAATTTAGGTACAGTAATTGAAATAGACCAAGCCATTCAATTACATATGTGTTCATTGTTTATTTACTAACATTATGAACATCGAACAAAAGAAAAAATGGTGCACGGGCAGTGGACGCTCATTGTAGTGAACTGTGTTTCTTTTGTTAGATGTTCGTAGTGTGAGAGTGCGTGTGGTAAAAATTCCCGTGCAGGGATTACATTTACAGAAACTAAACATTTTAGGGCTGCTGACTATAAAGCCAGAGCCTGTTCAAATTCTACCCCAATTTTCTTTGTTCTTTTTTTTTCATTTCAAACAACGGAAAGACCTCACCGTCGATGTTGTACCGCCTCTCCCGCTGGGCCGTGCTGTAGCGGCTGAAGCCAGGCTCGGAGCCCCGGCGGAGTTTGGCCTGCATCTTAGCCGAGCCGATGATGTCCTCCACCCCGCATCGCTCTTTGCCCAGCAGCTCGACGGTCGCGTCGTCCAGGATACCCGTCTCCTCGATACCGGCAAATTTCTGGAGTGTCCTACAGGACAGGCGGTTTTCAGTTTGGGTCATTTTATAACTTTAGGGGCCCAAAATGTGACATGTGACCCTGTTACGACTGGTCTTTGTAATTTGACATAGAAATATCACTGACTCAGTATCAGTTTGTTTGACAGGTAATTTTCATTACTTAATCACTTGTTGAAATTGTTTGAATGTATTACAGACTTACAAAATCGTGTCAGATGTGACGGGGACATGAAAATATGGACCCCAAATTTACAGAATGACCCAATAGTAAACTGCATTTGTTTTAATGAAGTTTTGCATGTATTTCAAGCTCGAAATATGCACAAATTTATATTATTCTTGTTTGAAAACGAATATTAACATATTATGTGAAAATCACAACAGGATTGTCATTTTCATAACCGGGATTGTTTTTTTAAAAAAAATCCTGCCTCACTCTACCACAAAATTTAATCCCTATTTTGAAATCACAATCTAGGAGAATGTGGATCGGGTAAGGAAGTGTAGCGGCACTTGCCGAGTGACATGGGCGGGATAATCTTACTTGAGTGCCCGCGGTATATCGGCCGGATTGCTCGGTGCACCGTCGGGTCCTTGGGCAACGTAGCCATACTTCATTAGGTAATTCTGCAAGTAACGATTGGCCGATAACAAAGGTTCATCAGTTCGTTCCGATAGTGCATCGATGGATTACTAATCAAAAAATGATAAACGTTGATCGAGAAGCAATCGACCTGATTAGGTACTTTAATAATTTTATTGTAACATCTTGGTCGATGGCATGTCAACAAACATTAGCGGGAAGACATTACCTCCGTTTTAGGCAAACTCAGGAAAAGTTTGACCAATCTTTTGGAAGGATATATCCTTGTCGGGGCAATTGAAATTCTTACAAAAATTTGGCAAATGATGTTCAGCAACATTTTTCATTGACTGGAAAACCAAAATGAATTTTAATTTTTTTTAAAACTAAGAATTAGATATTATTGCCAGGGCCGAAAGTCAAAACATATAGAAAATTGGAAGGCAGACGAAATCAACTATAAATTTATTCATCATCTTTCCCGAAACATTTTTTTCATTTGTCCAAATGATGAGGATAAATTGCGGGGGTTGAGCCATCACGTTGCCTATTTGGCGACTGATTATTCAAACTCAATCAACTAACTGTAATTACATCTTATCATCAAAGCTACAGCTTCCAAGACCTTTCAGAGTTTCAAGTGAAGGCCACGCGAAGGTCGACAAGTCGCAAGACCGGACCACAGCAAGGGCAAAAGGCTCGGGAATGTTCAAGAATTACGGAAGCATTTAAGCGAAGCCCCACCAAGGTTGGGGGAGGGGGGCTGCTTAGCGGGCCCAATTATCACTTAAAAAGTCGCTTTGTGTTCCCGAACCTCCCTAACAGGCTTAACCTCATAATAGTGCTGGCGAGTTCGATTTTGGTCCAGCAAATCAGACCCAATTATGATTGGCCGAAGGTGGTGTCATTGAAGCCTCGACGTGCTGCGAGAAAGGTCAAAATGCTTGGAGCTGCTGATGTGATCTCGGACATTCTGAGAGACGAATCAGTTTTGTGTGTGTGGATTTTTGACGTTTTGACTCCTATTTTAAAGGGCGCCGAGGATAATAAGAGTTTCAAGAGAAAAAGCAAAAGAGCTTGAGACACGCAAGTCATATCACCCAACAAATTAACACAGCCCAGAAATACCCAAACATACCAAATTTTGTCGTTTTGTACCACATCCTAGCCGATATACACTGTACATCACGACCAATCTAACCCCAGCCACGCCCCAGCCAAGTTTTCTCGGACGGAATATAATCTCCTCAGCTTTATGTTTTGTCCCGTTATCACATTTTCGGTGCCGAACCAAACATTACACGAATTAAACATGTGGATTCGGCACCCGTTGCGTCATGAAAACTTTTCGACCATGGACCGTGCCGATTACGGGCGACGATGTGAAATGTCAGTGACCAATAACCGCAAAGAGCAGGTTTTGTCACAGTCAATTTGAAGAGGCAAGATCCTTGTGGAGATGCGGAGTCCGTCCCACCTGTGTGATGGGGAAATACCCGGATAATTGTAGTTGGGTGAATTTATAAGTTGACCAAATGTTTGCTACAACTCAATATTCACAAGCCTGTTCATTTTAAAAACAAGCAAAGGGAAAGCAAACGACTGATTGTCTGGGAACGTAACATGCCAGGTGCATTGGTATATCTACACAAAAAAAAGAATTAAGGGTAACAAATATCATGCACACTGTATTGGATTTCTTGTTTTGTCGTGAAGCTATTTGTTTTTGGCGGGTATAGGCCTTGACAAACCCTCAACAAACGCATCGATTGCTCAAATCCCAAAAATCTGTTAAACTCTTGGGCGTGTCCGACTCCTGGTTTGATGAACTCTGTTGTAGGCTTAAAGCACTGCACATGATGCCTGGTATGTGCAACCATTGCTCTGTGGTGCGACCTTAGTGACGTAGTTCTCGGCCAGATGATCTTTCCCACGACCTAAAAGGAGACACCCTCTGCGACGTGAACTGGATCAACTCAGCAAGGACTCGAATACAGGGATCGCACACCGCTACAACACGGATCAGCACAGTCGACAGGACATCGATCAAAACGGCAAGAAATCTGGCACCTTTCAATGTTTTGCACACGAGATGAAAACTATGTGGCAGGAAATGAAAGAGCCACGGTGTAACGACAAACATGGACTCAACGGAAAAACGGACTTGTTGGCTGTAATGCCCATGAATGATAATACCACTACGAATGCGAGGCTAAGAGTCACTTGTAGGGGATGTCAAATTTCAAATAGCAATGGCAGATGGATGTATCATCTCGTAGGTGGACAGTTACATCCAGCAAGCTTTAGAGGGGCCGGCGTATAACCAGATATTGGGTGGGATGGGGGTCCCGTCAATATTAGTGGTCCTCCTTTCCTAAACCAAGATCCGCCCCTAAACACCGACGGGAACTTTTTGACAGGAATGACTCGGCCATGTCGTGAAAAGCACCGACGTGTTTACACGTAGAGCTCAACTTGTTTGTCATTTGGTGAATACAGTCCTTGACCAGTCAAACACGAACAAATAAACACATACGTTGTACACAGACTGACGAACACTCACATAGCTGAATTTATCCTTCACGCAATTATGCCAGCTTTTAACATTTTTAGCAGCGAATATTTTCTGTCGCACGTAACACAATTGCACTATGCAAGTATTTTTAACCTTTAAAACCGTCACGCACCCGTAAAGATCGCTGCACTTTTCGGCAAACGTATTGTTAGCGTGGTGTCATATCAACATAACAGAAGTACACCAGTATTAAGCTTTCTTGCAAAGAACTCTAGTCCGCGTGTGCAGGAGACACAACGATTATCACATCAGTAAGATTGGAGAAAATTACCTATCTTCAAACGAAAAAAAAACTGCCAACAGGAAACAAGAAAACTTCTTGTTTGTCAAAGATGTTAGGAACGATCATACTCACAGCGACATTTGGTAGGTTTTCCCTGCCTTTTCCTTTCTTCTTTTTGTTCCTCGCTCGGGCGCACGCAGTTTCATGGACGCACACCAGCAGGAGAAGCAGTATCAGTGAAAATAAAGTTCTGAGCTCCATCCTCGACCCCAAAACTGAAAATATTTGGTCGAGATGTGCGTCGTTCGTAGTCCAAAACCCCCCCAAAGAACAAACGAGACTCTATTTGTGGACCACTTCCGATGAATTTGAAGATGTCACCTCGTCCATGCAACGAACGCGGTGTCTAAATTCCCAATGTCCTCGGTGACGCCGAAGCCGATGAGGAAACCTTTCCTTTCAGAGCGAAAACTTCGATTTGTGGTGTGCCGGATAATGACAAACTCCTCCGGGCGACACAACTAACGCTGGCCTCGCTTGGCCGGGATAATTCGCCCAGCCGATCAGGCGAGGTCGGTGGAGATTAGGGGGTTGTTACAATATGATGTCAAGATTACTCCCAAAGTAATGCAGCTTCATTGTCCAGACTGACTGTTCCTCGACTTAGGGTGCCCGTAGCCGTTTTTATCCAGTCACGTGACCAACGCTGGCCTTTGCAGCAGATCCTGACCCGTAGAATAACCTTTAGCCCCCAGCTCGAAGAATCAACAAAGTTCCATGCAAACAGGAGCTGGGCTTGATGGCTGTACAACAGCTGAATATTTTGCGTCAGGTGTGAAGCCTCGTCAAGGAATCACTCTGAAGTCTGATTTGACAGTACTATTGTTCATGCCAAGGTGGAATTGGACATGATGACTCTTATGCCATGTATGCCAATGATCACCTACGTGTTCTCCTCTCATATGATGCTCCGTGACACAAACTCCAGTGAAACATTAACATGGCGAATGTGATGATCTCAGAGGGAAACATCATTATTTTATGCAAAAATAGATTTTTCAAATGAAAAGAAAATGAATTAAGTGCAGCATCAATTTCCTAATACAACCTATTAACTGCAATGCTATTACAGAAGGCGGTTTTGTGTGAAATCATGTTAGACACTCTGGTGAATGTGACGCAGGAGGGCGCAAAAATTTAGAACTAAGAGAGCAGGGTAGTTTGACCACCTCAATGCCAGGTCCTGGCCAGGGGAGTTCTGTCCCATCTGATCCTGGCTGCTAGTCAGTGAAGTTTATTGAAACTTGGCAGAGTCTTAGTCAATATGTGCTTATGAATTGAAGTCAAAACAATTATTAGGGGCGGATACAGTTTTCAGGAAACGGAGGAGGGATTTGAGTTTATAAGGTGTGCCTCTGCATCAAGATAGGGCGCAATTTCCCTAGCAACAGAGGCTCCTTTGGTGATGATGGGAAATGCACTTCGATGGTTCATAAGCGACTGGGAAATGTGCGTGTTGCAGTCACGTAGCAACAACAAAAGGAACTCTCCCCACCAACGTGGCTCTTTTCAACCGATGTCGGGATGCTCCTGCTCAAATCAGATAGGAGGCTCAGACATGATGCTTTCTGCTTCCCTCGAAGGCATCTTTGGGAATTTAAGAATTTTAAGAAGAATGTTGGCCCGTGTATAGATTAATTTTGGGTCCAGTGCTACATCAGTATCCTGAAATTTATCAGGGGTTGAACTGGGGAGGGGTTAACTTCAATCTGATGGCCAATTACTGGTGACAAGTCTTGCTTGTGAAAGGAAAGTTTTCGATCGTCATAAGCTGGAAACTTTTGCGGTCCCAGTGTACTCTTCTTCGGCAGTCTTATATTGCAATATTTAATGCTGCATATTTTGATGATTCACAACGTATTTGGAACCCCCGGCATGGAGGTCGTGATTTAACTGTGTCGCGCTGTGCAAGTGACATTTCCGACTTGAATCAAGCCTATGCCTTGGGTGGACACTATTATGATTGGGTGTAACATAATCATAAAATACAATAGCTTTGATACAGAGCCCCCATGGTGCAAGTAGACCCATGGGTGGATCGGATGACTCACTTAATGGAAACCGAGTACTGCATCCCACGGAGTCTGATTCCGGAATCTATATAAGAGACAATGTCGTCCTAACAGTATGACAGGTGTTAGGGTGCCAAACTTTTGCTAAACTGAAAGAAGTGTTCATTTTATTTT